ACAAAGTTGTAAGGGGGGGGGGGTATAATGGAATCAGCTTGTCCGGCCGTCTGGCGTCCGTCGGTTTTTTTCTTGTCCGCCCAATAACATAAGAATCCTTTGACCCACAGTCTTCATATTTGGCATGGAGGTTAGTCACGATTAGTAGATGGCCCCTTTTGATTTTGAGGTCACCAGGTCAAGGTCACAGGGGCTTTGACTTCAAAAAGCTTGTCCGCCCAATAACATAAGAATCCCTTGACCCACGTGCTGCATATTTGGCATGGAGGTTAGTCACGATTAGTAAAAGACTCCTATTGATTTTGAGGTCACCAGGTCACAGGGGCCTTGACTTCAAAAAGCTTGTCCGCCCAATAACTTAAGAATCCTTTGATCCACGTTCTGCATATTTGGCATGGAGGTTAGTCACGATTAGTAAATGACTCTTATTGATTTTGAGGTCACCAGGTCAGAGGTCACAGGGGCTTTGACTTCAAAAAGCTTGTCCGCCCCAATAACTTCAGAATCCTTTGACCCACGTTCTGCATATTTGGCATGGAGGTTAGTCACGATTAGTAAATGACTCTTATTTGATTTTGAGGTCACCAGGTCAGAGGTCACAGGGGATTTGACTTCAAAAAGCTTGTCCGCCCAATAACTTAAGAATCCTTTGACCCACGTTCTGCATATTTGGCATGGAGGTTAGTCACGATTAGTAAATGTCTCCTATTGATTTTGAGGTCACCAGGTCAGAGGTCAAGGTCACAGGGGCTTTGACTTCAAAAAGCTTGTCCGCCCAAAAACTTAAGAATCCTTTGACCCACGTTCTGCATATTTGGCATGGAGGTTAGTCACGATAAGTTAATGACTCCTATTGATTTTGAGGTCTCCAGGTCAGAGGTCAATGTCACAGGGGCCTTGACTTCAAAAAGCTTGTCCGCCTAATAACTTAAGAATCCTTTTACTCACAGTCTACATATTTGGCATGGAGGTTTATCATAACTATAAGGTGACCTGTATTGATTTTGAAGTCAAAGGTCAAGGTCACAGGGGCTTTGAGTAAAAAAAAGCTTGTCCGCTCAATTGCTTAAGAAGGCTATGGTCAACAGTCTTCATATTTGGTATTGAGGTTGTTTATTACTAGTAGATGACTCCTTTTGATTTTTAGATGACTGTGTCAAAGGTCAAAGTCACATGGATTTTACTATAATAAGCTTGTTTGCTCAAATGCTTAAGAATGCCTGTCCGAAGTGTATTGATTTTGACATTTTCATATTTTCACTTAGCAATGCACTGGCTTAGTAACCTCAGATTTGCAGGGAGGTTGTCCTTGGGCTCTAAATGGCCACTGTTGATTCTGACAAAGTGGTAGGCGGGCGTATTGACGCCACGACAGTGGCAGTTCTAGTTTTTTTTTTTTTTTTTTTTTTTTTTTTCATAAATATTTAATGATAATTAAATACTGTTCCATTACCTTTAGTAATTTTTGGGGGCACTTATATATTTTTACTTTTGTCAATTTCTTAAAACTAAGTAACTAGGTAAATGATCACTTTCTAAATCCGAAGTGTCATTTATATACAAAGTAATAAACCTTCAGCCGTTTAGTAAAATTAACGAGTCAATAAAATTGGACAATATGGCACATGTGTGCTTAATAATCCCTCTACAAAATACTACTGACCTTATGTATTAACCACCAATATCTATTATAAGCCATAATCTGGAAACACCACCAATCCTTGATAATTTGCCTTTTTAAATACAACATGTTTCATTACTTTGTTTTTGTTTTGTTGTTTTATAATATGCATCATATAGAATAGGTTTCTACTTGTTGTGAAATTAAGTCAATTTAATCATTGCCTTATAAGATAAAAAAAGTTTTTAATTTTAACTACATTTAGGCAGTATTCTTTCTTGATAATTATTTGACATTATGCACTCTCCAAGCGGATGTGAAATTGTCACTTAGAAAGAGTGAAGTGTCATTACTAATCAGTGCTAGAACCTTAATGGAAAGCCCTATTCATCTGCATTTAGATATTTTGCATCTTTCTATAAATACGGATAGTTCTCAGACATAAATTTTGTAATATATAGAAAACCACTGATAAACTCTCTTATACGTTATAATAACGCACTCCTTTGCTAGGTGTTACGGTGATCTATCAGACAATTCATGGTGCCTCTTGATGAAAGCTAGTATCAGTCTTTTCAGGTCTTTAGTTTACAAATGGGCATACTCTCCAATACTGTTCAATTATTCATTTAACTGTATCTAAATCCCTTGATTCACGAACTCCCATTTAAATCATGTTGATCAGTAGTTTGTTTTATCATAAAATATAGCAGCTTTCGTGAATTAAAGTATGCACTATAATTTCTTCAGATTATTATAAAATATTGAACTGATCATGCGTAGACGATTGCAGGAAAGGAAGACTTGATTGTCATGTTATAGTCAAGAACTTAATCGATTTATGCGTATTATCGTGAGGAGCTGTTGTCTGAAATAGCCCATAGTTCACATAAACCTGGTAGCTTTTTGTGTAATTCTGTAATAATTTCTAGGTAATTATTTCTAGTTATTTGGAATAGACATCAAATCATATGCTTTGACAACCCGTAAAGTATTCAAACAGGGCTCCAAACAAAATTTGAAAGACGGTATAAGGGCGAAACAAGAAGTGGAGGAACGTTATAATGGCAGTTATCGGGGGCATTTGTTTGCGTATATTTTTTATAAGATTAGTGTCAAAAGTGACGTTTCAATAAAATGGAGTCAAAATGATGAATCATGACATATTGTTTATATTGTTAACTCTACTTTTATTCAAAATAAAATGATTTCGCAAATTTACATTAAAGGAGATACGGCTGTGTGTTGTGTCTAAATAGGCAAAAAAAAACTTGGAGATTTCTCTCAATATATTGTCTATCAATCAGGACGACCCAAATTGTTATTATGATGTCAACAGTGCAAAGTGTTATCGATTATCCAATTTATTCATGATTATTCTTCAAGATTCTGTCTTAAGACCTCTTTTCTCAATTCATCGACATGTCTGTCAATTTTCTTGAAGAGAAAACAATATAAAATATGCCTATTTGAGGAACAACATGTCAAAGTAGTAAATTAATGGACTATTGAAGCAGAATAGTGTCATTGAAAGCACAATTATTATTAACGTCATTATACGACTCTTAAAGATTAAAGAGGTGTTTTAGACCAAATCCCGTACACAAGCAATTATCCCGTCATAGCTGAAACAAATAACTTACAATTAATAAGATGATTTGATGTTGTTATAGAAAAAAAATTGCTTGTTCCAGACGAAAGAAGTCATGAGTGCAAATTAATCCATTTTCTCAAATTTCCTCAAATGTCTTTCTTTACAAATATTGACAGCCAAGGAAAATTAAGATGAGATGCTGCTTTCATAAAGAATACAAATATATTCTCGTATTTGTGTTATTTTCCCAATTCACTAGATCAAATGTTTAATAGTTTCATATGTAACCATACATCGTTTTATAATACATTTAATTTGTTAAACACATACTATCAAAAATAAATTGAATTTAGTTAAGTCGTATTGAGGATCACAATAATTATTATATACTAAAGTTTAACAACGAGTTATGTTTATGTCAATAATGAAAATATTTTGTCAAGGTCTGCGAAAATCAACATCACTTAGACATAACACAAAACCATAAAAACGTTTGAAGAAAGCCAGACATTTCAAATTCAATTACTGTTTCTTATTGGCAATTTGTAACCTCTACCATATTTGTAATAAAGCGGTTTATATATTCGGTAAATGATCACACTCAATCAATGCCTCTCAGAGAAGCAAACATATTTTCTTGATGATGCGCTCCTGCGAGATTTGTTTTATTTTTAAGTTGTTACAAACACGCAATTTTGTTCCATTCGCAAGACTTGAAAAAAGAGTTTTTTCAAATGGCACGTGAAGATCAAGCGTATAAAATTTTAACAATATAAATACGTTTTGGTTTACAGACTATTGTTTCAGGTTGATGACAGATATGATTTTGCTATCACCATTTAACAAAATACGTCTGTATTAGAACTGGTATTACATGTATTGTCATATCAGTGATGAGGACCATGTATATTATATTTCTACGCAAGCGCGTTTAATTTGCCATATTTAGCAATCATGTATATGTTTTTCTTTACTTTTGCAATATCGCATTAAAGGCAAACAACTATGTTCCTGTGAAGACGACAGTATGTGCTATCTTACATAAAAAATTAGACTATCTAACACTTATCTCCGGGGATCATTGTTTAATATTGAACAGTTTGCACTTTTGAAATAGATTACACAATAATTTTGATATAACCTCGATTCAAATAGAGAAAAGACAAAACATGACTTAATTATTTTCTATTTTCTCAAACAAATGTGCACAGTTTACTATTCATTATTATGATTTGTTCCAATGGGTGTTTCCTAACATCTATCTACGACGTATTCAATTTCAGGGCACTGATGATTTAAACAATACTGCTTCATAATTATCATGTACCCTATGCATCTAGAAATTATGTGATCATATAAAAATGCAAATCCTAATTGACGACACTTCATAAAAAGAAACTGGCGTTGGGTCTTTTACTGAATTCAATAGTCCCGTCTATTGTGTTAGAGATCTTTTGACATAAATGTATCCATCATTGATTGTATGAAGGTGATTCTCAAATGTTTTACAACAAAGCATTGTCGATAAAATCAACTCCTTATCTTTGTTCAATAAGAGTATGATTGTCAAAGACCTATTATCTCAATTTATTGACACATCTGTCAGTTTCGTTGACTTGAAATGTAACAGACGTTGCTATTCAGTTTATAACATGTTAAAGAACTCAGATGATGGTTTATCGCAACAGATTGTTTTAATTAACAGCAAAATTATGCAAAACTATAAACGTCACAATTGCACTGTTTAAACATGTTAAACAAAAAAGTAAACCTTCTACAATGGTCTCAACCCGGTACGGAATTAGACCCAGCCCGTTGTAGGCTAGAAAATAGTTCTTTGAAATTTTGAAGTGCCCTATTTCAAGTCATTTTTAATGTGACTGGTTACATTTTAAGTGTATTTATTGTAACAGTGTACATTTAGTGTCATTTCTGATGACTTTAAAAGTTGTTTTTTGTGTATTCTGCAGGATCTCATTTCTTGGTGGAAGGATTCGAGAAGTACTACACGCCAGCATACATGACATTTGAAACTTTGATAATTTGACAGTGACTTAACAAATTAAGAAATATTGTGAAATCTAGATGGCTAACATAGGACATTTCGGGCTTCGACTAACTTGTCTAGTGTTGATGTTTAAAGTTATGAAATACAGAATTCTGCTGAGTTTAATAGAAGTCCATAATGAAGCTTTAAATGTGACAGATTTACTATAGATTAAAGAAGGGCGAAAATGGACAAGGCCGTGTCCTAAATAAGAAATATGAAAAATGGGAACTGGTTGATGGATATGGATGAAACTTTGCATCAGTGTTGTGTTTATGAATAGAAATCAGGAAAATAAAGGATAACTGACAGGTTTGAAAAATTTAAATTTTATTTCAAATTTTAAATTTTGACATTTTAAATTGGGACAGATGTTGTTATTGTTGTCTCCCCTTCAAATGTAGATGTCTGCTACTGTGTCAATAAGTGCAGAAGAAGGGTGCAGAGCTTTTGCATGAAGGATTAACCACATTTTATTGAATTAAAACTGTAAAAATGAATTTAAAATTAAAAAATGAAATTTAAATTTTGTTAAAAGCAGTTAATAAATTGATAAATATTATTTTTGCACCCTGTGTTTAGCAATTTACTAGCTCTATAGCTTATTTTTATAAGATTTATATAAAAATGATAATTTTTAGAGAAATGCATCTTAAATTATGGATAAACCATGCATTGCAAGGAATTGGGGAGTGCATGTTTTCAGGCTGGTTACATTGGCAAAAAAGGTGATTGGCAAGCTCATTCCAGAGGTCTTAGGGGCCCAAGAAGCACCGGCCATGGGATTCGAACAAGCACCATAGTAGCCTATTGCTCATATGGACCACACATTATATGCACTGATGTTTCAGCAAAGAGTTGATGCTGCAGTAATCAGATTGTAAATATTCACTAGTGTCTTGTATTTCAATGAAGCAGAACTGACAATTGAACATGACACATGTGATTTACATGTTGGAAATATAGGCATTTTCAGTGTAGTGAATCTTGATGTTTTGCTGTGTTGCAGAATGTATATAATTGCTAATTTATACACACAAAAAATGGTCTAGTCATTAAACAGTGTAGTTTATGGATAATTGGCTCATTTAGAATTATAAAACAGTTGATGTGATTGTTCTTGTTGTTGTAGCAGCTGCTACAGCAGTTAAAATAGGTTAGCTTTATAATGTCGTAACTGCTATTTCCATGCAGGCATGCATTTTAAGCACACAATATTTAAGCCCTCCTGTGTGAATAAGCAAATCAAGCCATTGATTAATTAAGAAATGTTTTTCTTCCTTTTTTTTGATATCAAAATTACAGCACAAATGCCTCTTATAATTTCCTTCGACATGTTTTAGTGTTGCATATTTTTTTCAGACCATGCAGTTACCAAAGCCGGGGTGACCTTACCTTATATACTGGTTAAGATCTATGGAAGAACTCCTTCAGCTCAGTTTGGCAGCAGATTTGTCAGGACAAGATGAGAAGGTAATAACTTATGTCCAGTTTGAAACTTCAGCTATTGACGGCAACAATTCCCAATGCTCGGGCAATATTTGGTAGATATTTTGATGTATATCCAGAGAAAATTTCTCTAATTTTGACTATTTTAAGACTTTTCAATGATTTAAAGTGGGAGACAGTATGTGCAATCATTTTTTAGCCTTATTTGGGTGAGAGTTGGTTAATCTTACTTTGTCAGAAGACATAGCCCATGGGGATATGGTAACCTCTTTGCTAAACTTAAGATTACCTCTGTTTGTCTTTATTGATATCTTAAGCAAACAATTTGTAGGGTATATATCTTGGTACTTTACTTTATTTACCATGCTATATAGGTAAAATCATAATCAGTAAGTTTTATTGCAAAATTGAAAGAAAAAGTTATGAAAAAAGCACATTTAATTGTGATTACTTGTACTTTAACCCAAAATTTCATGCCCTCATTAAAATAAATGGAGTTATTATTACAATTTGTAAGCAATAAGGGCTTATTCTTTCATAAAAATAACTAAATGACATTAGCCGGTAACAGTTAACTTTATTTGAAGAAAATCCATTTACAAAATCAAAAGATATGACAGAATTTGTGATATAAATTTTTGCGTAAAATTCTATTGGCCGAGGCTGATTTTTCGCATGAAGTTTCATATGTAAGAAATTGTACTGCATTAATGTTATTTGTTACAGACATGTCAAACCTATATGATTGTACTTGTATAACAATAAATTACTAGGAAATGAGTATAAATTTTGACTTAACTTAAATTTTGGATTCATTTAGGTCTCAACCCGGTACGGAATTAGACCCAGCCCGTTGTAGGCTAGAAAATAGTTCTTTGAAATTTTGAAGTGCCCTATTTCAAGTCATTTTTAATGTGACTGGTTACATTTTAAGTGTATTTATTGTAACAGTGTACATTTAGTGTCATTTCTGATGACTTTAAAAGTTGTTTTTTGTGTATTCTGCAGGATCTCATTTCTTGGTGGAAGGATTCGAGAAGTACTACACGCCAGCATACATGACATTTGAAACTTTGATAATTTGACAGTGACTTAACAAATTAAGAAATATTGTGAAATCTAGATGGCTAACATAGGACATTTCGGGCTTCGACTAACTTGTCTAGTGTTGATGTTTAAAGTTATGAAATACAGAATTCTGCTGAGTTTAATAGAAGTCCATAATGAAGCTTTAAATGTGACAGATTTACTATAGATTAAAGAAGGGCGAAAATGGACAAGGCCGTGTCCAATGTGTTCCTCTATACATATATACATGTATGATAGTAAAGATAGCTCTGTATACTTTGCTGGATAATGATATACTTGGGTCTTATTGTATTTCTTTCATATTTTTATATTTACATTTTTATATCAACGAGAGCATTGTTAGGCTAACAGAGACATAGTATTACGGCTAACCTAATTTTATGTCCAGAGCGATAAGCCATAGCTATATTTTGTTCAAGCCTGTGGAAATCACCATGAGTTTGTACACAAGCAAATCATTAAAACTATGTTTGAAGAAAGACAGACATTCCAAAATTAAATTACTGTTACTTTATTAGTATGATACTTCAACCAGATTGGTAATAAAGTGTTAATAAATTTGGTAAACAGTCAGTGGTCAAACTATGTCTTTCAATAAGGAATAGAATTTTACACATGCGTTCTTGTGAAATCAACACTATCTATTCCAAAACATAAGTGAAAACTTGTTTCAAAGTATTGTTACTTTGAAATGTTTTTTGCCGTATTTTATAAAAGTTTGTGTTATTTAAAAGTTTAATTCAACAATATATATGTACGTTGTATGAAAAACTGGAAATATGTATGTAACATTACCTCTATTTTTAGCAAATGCATACTCCTATTATTGTGTAAAAACACAGCTACTGTTCTGTACTAAAAATGTTAAATTTGTAACCCTTTTAAAACATTATTTTGTATATTCCTACGATCCTTGTAGTAAAACGCATTTAATATAGTAATTGCTTCATTTTTGAACTACTATTATGTAATGTGAGATATTGGTTCAACGTTATCAGATTTATTCTTTAGAGAAATATTTAAAATAAATAAGTGTGCATATTTATAAAACAAGAACCTGCTGATTTGGATTAAAGGATAATCTTGAATAAATATCTAGAATACAGCCAAAATAATTATGTATACATACGCCTAGAATCTGCAATTCCAAAGTTGGAAACAAATATTTGTAATTAAATAAAGAGCAACATTTTTCTAAAGCAAATGGTCTTATGTACATATTAAACTATACTCCTAATTTATTAATCGTAAAATCCAACTTCAATAGCAATTGTTTTCAGAATGCGATACATTTAGTTAAAACTGTCATTATTAAAATGTACACATTTTACCAAAGACACTAAAATGGTAATGCACTAACTTAAAAAGCTTTTTTGTTGTTGTTGTTGTGATCGTTTTCTTTTTAATAGATTGTTAATAAAATCTCGCCTATTAATACGCAAATTAACTATCCCTTATACGGTCATACATTGTACCATACCAACAACGAACGACTACAAGCGAGAAAGTCTATTTAAAAATAACCGAATTCATGTCGAAAACATAAATTGGTACTCTTAAATTATGGATGTAATGTTTAATGAGAGACATACCTTGAGATACTGGTATGCAAAGAACGGTCAATGAAATTGGTTAAATACGGAAATAATTAGGATTATAAATTCAACTTTTGATTGCTTGTAAGATAGTTTTTGTACTTGAATTTGTACTCATTATTACTCTGCAAACTACAATGTCATTTTACGTGGTATTTGCAGGACTTAAGAATCTGAAAAAGGAAAGATCACTCTAGAGCAATAAAACCAGCCGAAAAAGTGACATGTGCGGAGTAAGTGTCATTGTATCGTCTTATCATGAAAGAAAGGTGTAACTTCCTCACTCCCGCTTACTTGTACTAGTTTTAGTAAAATAATTCAATATTCAAAAAAGAATAGACAACAATATCAAATAATATATTGAAAAGGGAGATCCCTTACGTGCTTGTAAAAAGCGACAATTGTAGACTCGGTTACTATAGTCTTTAAAAACATTTAAATTGAAGCGCATTTTAGGATTTCGTCATCAGAGTTAATTTAATTACGAAATATAAACGCGCAAATATGAGAAAATCATTATGTTATTACTAACATGTGTTGTCACTATAACAGACTCGGATGCTATATTGTCACATAAAATCCTGGTATATCCGGAGTGTTTATTCAGATGCCAATACAATAAGAAATATCTTCATGAAAGTTAATTACATACTTTAGTGATATAAAATTCATTTGATAATGTTAATAGCAAACATAAAAAAAATAATGTCGAAATTTGATAATTGTGTAACTATACGATTTATAACATGCAGCCAGGGAAATGACCTATTCATGTCCACATAATAAATTGCTTATCTTCAAATAAACACATCACATATCAAACACTTAGTATACTTATATTGTAACGACGTTGGTAGAACGTCATATAATGAGCATTACAATATGCAAACATAAAAGATGGTGAATTCACATAAAGGATAGTATCCAATATATAAGGGCATAAACCACTCTTGGTGGTGAGCTAGCTTTTCACCGACAGGGTTTGTGTGCCTTAAAAACGTTACATTTGGTGGCCAGTGTGGGGGATGTAGACAACTGCCAGACCGGAGTTGCCCTACTCACAGATTTCCCAGGCCAAATCTCAGGACGAGACTTCTCGGAGGGGAAAGTAATGTAACGACGTTGGTATAACGTCATATAATGAGCATTACAATATGCAAAAACAAAAGATGGTGAATTCACATAAAGGATAGTATCCAATATATAAGGGCATAAACCACTCTTGGTGGTGAGCTAGCTTTTCACCGACAGGGTTTGTGTGCCTTAAAAACGTTACATTTAAAAAACAATGTGGCGACTTTCATAATTTAAACTTTTACTTTGGTAGCGTATAAGTCGCAACACTGTTTGGGGTTTAAACAATCTTTAAATAAATGGATACAAATAGAAAAAGTCTTTGTTTAAACTTTTAAAATGTAAGAATATTTATTGAACAGTTAGAACAAATATCATATACATGTATAAAAATAATTATGTCTTTAACATCTATCATTAATAGTCATCTATAAACTATGTCTCTTCTTTTCACAATTTCTATTAGATTCTATTCTCAATAAATATCTCTGTTAAATTATCTTTCTATTTTATGTTCTGATATTCATTTACAATGTATCAATGTTATTTTATTCTATTTTCCACCCCAATAATCAACTTATTTATTACTGAATTATCAGAACTAACTTTTATCTCTGAATTCCCAGAGTCAACTTCAATCTCATCTCACTTCATATTCGAAAACATCTCTATTTATACTAGAAGAATTCCGCTAGAATTGCAGAATTTGGCAGAAAGTGTGATGTCATAAATAACAGTGGCAGAATTCAGCAGAATTCTGCAGAAATACATACAAACATATTCAAGGATTATCTTTTAAGTATGCAAAGTTCAATTTAACAGGATATACAAAATATTATATAAGACTAAAAGCAATTACCTAAGATATGACATACTCTGTAAACATCGTCTGTCAACTGTCAAAAACCCAATGTTTACCAACAAGAAAAACGCCCACGAGAAATCAATGACGTAGAACGCATAATTCAATGACGTTATAGACATAAGCGTAACAGGTACACAAAAATGTTGTTAACATGCCGGTAACTCACTATCAGCCAAATTATCCAATATCTTTAGAAATTGACGTTAACAGTAGATGACAATTATAAACAGACATACAAAAATGTGGATAAAGTTTACCGCTAGAAGGTAATTCAATCTTGAACTTTATATTGAACGGTAAAAGCTTTATCACTGAGATTAAAAATAATGTAAACAATACCCCACCCACTTTTAAAACCATTAAGTTATACGGAGTTTGCACATAAAAATACTCAATTAAAGAATAAAGTAAGCAGGTGAATTATTAGATCACCTGATCCCTGCATTACCCCCTCCTTTTAAAAATTTTGTGTCCTCACAAAAAAAAACAAGTTGTGTGCCTTTAAAGATGTAAGTCTTACATTAGCATAAAAATAATTAACTTACATGTACAAGAAGTAAATAAAGAGTATAGTTTATACTCTTAAAAAAAACAAATTGTGTAGATTCATTAAAAACATAAAATATTTCATATATAACATGAACACTAAAGAAAATATTTTTCAATGAACAATAACAAGTTTAAGATATTTAAGTAGTCAATTAAACTAACAATTATGTCAATATAATTCTGTCAATAAAGATTACATGAAATATAATAACTGTATAAAAATAATAATATTTCCTTCACACAAAATGTCACTATATTTTCCTTCTCTTTTTAAATACTTATACTGAATTTCAAAACAAAATATACCCTGAGTGTCTTTGTCTTTTAAAAAGACATTGTTTTCTTTAAAATCTGATATGCTTGTTTAATCTCTTTTGGTAAGGATCCAATGATATGGTGTGTCTCCTAGGATGAGCATGGTAATTGTTATATCTGGGTCTGAAGTTGTTGTTGTTGTTGAAGTTTTCTTTCATGTATGAACTTGGGACATGTATTTTGTGGCTAGTTTTGCTTTCAGTATGTGGTTCTCTTGTTGATTTTTCATTTTTTACATCTTTGATCATTTCTTTTATGTCTTTCATTTCAATTAATACCTGTTCTAAAACTATTCCCATTGTGTGAACATCATTTTTTAGCATTTTGTTTTCTTTCTCGTATTCTGAGCATTTCTCACATACTTTTTCATTGCTGCTACAATATAAGCTTGTTGTGCTTGATTTTGAACTGTTAATTGTCCTACATGTTTTTTCAGCCACATATTTAGTATTTATTAAGGGGTCTTCATGTAGACTAAATGGTGAAAGGTCTGCTCCATTTAACATTTGGGGTAAAATGTCCTCTGTATAATTGGATTTTGTTTCAATTCCACTCATTATTGCCGCCTGCTGTAATATCGATATTTTCTCAACAGCTTTGTTTCGTCTTCTTTTACTAAATATATCATTACTTTCTTCTTTGCTTAATCTTGTTATGTCATTCTCAGTTACCAAATAGTGTTTCATGTTCTGCAACAAACTTGCGCTTTCGTTAACGATTTCATTATTCGCCAGCATAGCATTTACAGTCGCTCTGTGCGCAGGATATATACTTTGTTTCACATGATTCTCCAGTTCAGT